ACATTCCACTTCCAACCCCAGACACCATTCTAAAATCTTGACCTCAGTCTCCCTGTTCGGTTTCTTTCATTTTACTTCCTATTCCATCCCTGACTCCACCCCCAACCCAGACACGCACTCATGCCAATAAACTCTGCATTTCCAGCTACACAGAACTATTCTGGGTTCCCCAAACACACCATGCGTGCTCATCCCCATCGCCAGTGAGAACCCTTGATTCATCCTTCAAGTCTTGGCTCAAACATAGGGTATGCAGGGCATCTCCCAGGAAATCTGTTTCTTTTCTCTCTTCTCATGACATGGTGCTTTAAACAACACATCACAAATGGCCTTCTGCTTAATTGTCTGCTTTTCTTATTCTGAACCTTTCTATATCAGAAACTATCTTAGTCATTCACTACCCCTAGTACCTAATAGTATATCTAATACATAATAGGTGCCCAATGAATATGTGAAAAATGAAACAGTAGAATGTCTGATGGTTATTACATGTGAATGAACCTCGTACCTCATCTACAACCTGTTGATGATGCCATCTTTTCCTATTTATTCACTGCCGTGTAACAAAACTCCCCAGTACATACTAGCTTAAAACAATGACCATCATTGTAATACCTCTCTCAGAGTCTGTGAGTTAGGAATTCAGGAAATACTTGCCTGGGAAGCTCTGGCTCAGGGTCTCTCACTCAGCTGCAGCCTGACAGTGGTTAAGGCTGGAACAGTGTGGTGCTGGAGTAGCTGTGGGTTAAGAGACTGGAGCATGGCTGAGCATCTCTCTCCATATAGTCTCAAGGGCTCTCCACATGGTCTATCTGAGTGGGCTAGTTGAGCTTCTCCCCAGTATGGTGAGCTCAGGGCAGTCGGACTGCTGACATGAAGCCTGGAGGATTTAAGATGAATCAACACTTGTGGTCTAGCCTTGGAGGTCACATATCGTCACTTCCTCTGTATTCTATTGGCCAAAACAGTCACCAAAGGCTGACCAGTTTTAAGGCAAGGGGACACAGAGCCCACTTTCTACAGGAGGAGTATCAAAAAATTTGCAAATACATTTTAAAATCACTATAATTAAGTGCAGTGTGTATAGAAAAGGGACAGCAGTAGAAAATTGGTGGAATCGAATAAAATTCAGAGTTTAGTTAATAGCAGTGTACCAAATGCTAATTTCTTAGTTTTGACAAATGTACCATGGCAATGTAAGATATCAGGGGAAAAGCGGATGATGGGTGTATGGGAACTCTTTGATCTACTTTGCAACTTTTTTATAAACCTGAAATTATTCAAAAAGAAAAAGTCAAATTCAAAGAGAATGGTACATGCCTCCTTCTCCCCAGTTACCTGCAGTAACTGAGAACTAATTCTGGTAATCTTTTCTATTCTGGTGAAGCAGGATTTGCCATACTCTCTATGATTACACTATTCACAGTGTTCTGGAATCATTTACTTAAACACCCATTTCTCTTATTGTATGGATTCCCTGAAGGATCTTTTCTTACTTTTTTTTTTTTTTTTTTAATCCTCAGCACCCAGCACAGTATTAAAATAATGAAGTAGGTGGAGTCATATGAAAATGCCACTTTGGAGCTCAAAAACAGTTGAATAGTGGCAATTAATCTACAAACAAAATCAAATGAATGGACTTTTCTTATTCTACGCTTTTGCTCAAAGAGAGTAACAGAGTCCAACATTCCTGGGAAGAACTCTTTCAGAAAAATGAGTATTGACCCACATTTTTTACTGGGAGCTCCACAAAGGCCTTGAATTCCTTACCCACAGGCTTCTTGAGTCCTAAGTTCTTGTCTCTTGAGCCAACGCCTTTGCAGGGCTGAGAAAGTCTGCCTTGCTCTAGTAGGCCAACAGCCAGAGGCCGCGGGGCCCTCCAGATGCAGACAGGAACGTGCAGGGTGGGGTCCGCGATAGCAGAGAATCCAGGCCAAGCTGGAAGGCAGCCATGGGCGCTGCTGCAGCAGGAGGCTGCAGGAAGTGGAGGAAGGAGGAAGTTATCTTGTTGGCAAGCCCCACCCCTCTTCCATTTCCCAGGAGGTCAAGCAGATGTCATCGGATGAATTTTTCCAGACTCGAATGGATGCTCTAATAGGATTCGAATAGGAGACAACGAGGGTTCACACTTTCTTTCTGTTTTTTTCTCCTTTTACACCCACACTTAGGAACAATAGCAGCTTCCCTGCAAGGCCCTCACATAAGCAAGAAATGGTCACCAAAAGGACCAAGGCAGTTTGAGGAACAGTCTCATGCATGTTGCATGAGTTCGTCCACGATGGGATTGAGACATAGCTCCAGACACCTCTGAGGAGAGAAGGTGGGGACTGGTGCTTTGGCCAAAAGAGTTCTGCCAGCATGATGGCTTCCAGCTAGATGCTCAGGCAGATCCAAAAACTGCATTGCCTCTTTCTCTGTTTATGAATTATCCTTCCCTGAACAGAACAGCTGGGGCATTTTGTTCTCTATTCTTTGAATATGGCTGGCTTTCCAATTCCTTGTTCTCCATCATTGAACACACACAGCAATGAAACACAGAGCCATTTTCTGTCGTAGTTAATGATGCAGTATCTGGCAGCCTCTCCTCCTTCACCAAAGCTATCCTTGGGGAAAGTTCTCATTCGAACACTCCAAAAGTTGTTTTTAACCAGTGAGACCCAAGACTTAGATGGTTTTGGGCAATCTGGTTCTTATTTTAACTAAGACGAGTTTATTCTCCTCAGAACAAAAGAATGCCAACAACTCAGCGGTCCCTCACCTTGCTGCATCACCAGCCCGAGTCTTCCTGAGCTCTGAGAAACAGCACAGTATAGCTTTGGGAAATTAACAATAGAAGTCCTGATAGATGTGCAAGGCATCTGTTTTTAATTGGTCTCATTCTTTATTTCTATGGGACCGGGCAGTCAGTCAGGAGTATGCTGAGATGCAGTGTACATCACAAGTGAGAGGCTTTGGGGCTGGGCATGATCACAGAAGCGCAAGCCACATTCCAGCGAGTGCCCGGATGTGGTAGGTACAGGGCTCGAAGAAGGCTTATTCGTTAAAGACCACGAATGCAATGTGGATCGAGGGCCTAGATACAAAGTGATCGTTTTGAAAGAGCATCCCTCTGGCTTGTCCTTCTCAGGAGACTGCAGGCACCGGAAGGATTGGTTACATTATGCTCAGGGATTTTTACCTGATGACTACCTGAAAAAGAGCAGGATGTCCCAAGACTCCTGGATCCCATTGCTAATCCAAAATGCGCCTGCCCTTTATAATTGTATCTCAGTCTTTTGGAGACTTTGTAAAGTCTTTATTTTTCTAAAACAATTTTTCATCTTAGAGAAGATGACCCATTACGAGTCATTTTAGTTTAGCCTCAGCCCGACTCTCTCCAACTTTTTCCCTTCCCTCTTCTTCCCAGTCATTTTTTCTACTTTCCTTCATTCAGTCAGTCAATATATAATTATTGAGCATTGAATTATGTGCCTTGAATATCCTGGGGCATGGAGGACACAGAAATGCATCTGTCAGAATGGGCGACGTCACGTTGTTATAACACGCAATCCCAAGAATGTCATGTCTTAAATTGCAAAAGCTTATTCTCCTCATGCTCTCTGTCTATTGAGGATTGGTGGAGTGCTCTGACCACAAAGTATTTAGTCAGAAACCCAGGCTGATAGGAGCTCTGGGCTGCTATGGAGGACAGGAAGATTTCAGATGGAGGGCCGTGAGGATACAAACGGAGTAATTGGGGAGTGGTGTCTGTGACTGGGGGGTCAGGTATGCCTCTCTGAGGAGGTGACTATTGAGCTGAGATGACGTGTGAGAAGGAGTTGGCTTTGGGAAGATCTGGTGGCAGGCAGTCTAGGAAGGACCAGCAGCGTCAACGCCCTTTTATCAAGAACAGGCTCAGCATCCAAGAAACTGGAAAAACGTGGTGAGTGAGTAAGAGCATGGTGGAGAATGTGTCCTTGGAGGTGATCAGAGGCCAGACTCTACAGGGCCATATAGGCCACTGCAAAGAGTTGGAGTTGTATTCAGACTCTATTTTACTTCTAAATTTATATTAGCAAACAAAGACCACCCAAGTTTCAGAATTTGGACCTCTGCTGAGATGCCCTCCCTCACCTTTCCCAGCTCAACTCATTCAGGTGGCACCTTCTCCAGGAAACCTTCTCTAACACCCCACTCTAATACCTCCAATCACAGATACTATCAATTATGCATTTTTCTGCAGAATCCCTAGCTACTACGAATCCTTGAGGGCAGAGGTCGAATCCCTAGCACAGTGCTGGACAAAGGTAGGCCCTGAATTAATTAATTAATTAAACAACTTCAAGCACATTACTCAAGCACATTAATTAATACATTTCTCATACCTTATGACATTAGGCAGTATATGGGACAGGGCTTGGTAAGATGTCCTCATCACCCCATGTTTTCCATGTGACCTAGACAAGTGCTTACCATAGTTAAAGTGTTAAATGAAGACCTTCTAAATTGATTCAGAAGAAGCCTAGCATACTTCAAGAAGATATGCGAAAAGTAGGAAAATAAAGAGGATGTATTGATTATATCCTATATACCGGTTGATCATCCATTTCTCTGCCCACATTCTCTCCTTTTATTTTTACAACAGCCCTACAAGATGAAAAACTGGGGCTCAGAGAAAAATTAGTGACTTAAACAAGTTGAGACCTGCCACATCATAGCTACTCCATAAACATTAGCTGCTATTATTGTCGTTGTTTGTATTATTATCACTGAAAAGGAGGGTGAGGGGCTTGGGGCAGTGTATCCCACATATATTCAAAGCTGGGAGGAGAGCCCAAGTTAGGAGAGCTCCCCAAACAGAAAGGAGATCTCCTTGCACAGACTTTAACTCTTAGAAGATCTGGGGCCCCTTTGATGCTCTGATGAATATCGTGGACCCAATTCTCCAGAAATACGTGCAGCCACACAGATCTTCAGAATTATAGGCACACAAAAACCCAGTCTTAAATTGTAGAATAATAGTCTGCAGCCATGCCACCCTGAACGAGCCAGATCCCATCTGATCTCAGAAGCTAAACAGGGTTGGGCCTGGTTAGTACTTGGATGGGGGACCACTCAGGAAGACCAGGTGCTGTAGGCGTAAAAAAATAAAAAATATAAGAGAGCGTAAGCTGACAAGATTTTTGCAATCTGTGAGGTCAACCAAGAGTTGCCTCACCTAAAAAAAAAAAAAAATTAAATTGTAGAATAATAAATAATAACGGTGACCATACGATGCTAATTACATGGCAGGCCCTAGTCAAAACACTTGACACAAATTCTCATTTAATCCTAGAGCAACCGTAAGAGGTAGCTACTATTATTATTTCCTTCTTTGTAGACAAGGAAACTGAGACCAAGAAGTTAACTAACTTGCCAGAGGTCACTCTAAAGTGTGAGAGTAAATCCCATTGCTGGGATTTGAACCAAGCTGGCTCTACAAGAAGTACACCCACTCACCACACCCACTGCCTTTCAAGATCCTGCCCCCTGGTGGGTACTGGGCTCTCCTCCTGCATTTCAAGGAGAGACTTGCTCTCCTAAGAGCAGACACTTTGACCAAACAAAAGCATGGGCCACCTGTTCCTCTTACCTGGCACCGGCAGATCAAGACCCTTTCCCAGCATGACCTTGAAAGTAAAAACCACTTGATTCTATGACCATCCTGATTGAAAAATAACTGGTTCCAGGGGTATTGCTGAGAGCCATGCAAATTCTTTGAAATAATGAGCTGCCTTACCCAAGCAGAAACTCCCTCTCCGACAGTCTCCCCGTCACCTCTCCTGAGTGAGCAAAATTCCTTTCCACCTCAGAATATTAGACTGCATTGATGGCTTAAACTCACCCACACTACACCTTTAGGTATGCTACCAATCCTTCTCCATTAAGCCCATAACAGTGTAACAGAAAGGAGAGGCCAAGAACTGTGGGAAGGTCTCAACTAGCAGCGACAGGTAGCACACCCACAATTAATTATACACATTTATGCGAGGGCTGGTAAGCAAATCAATGTCATCGATGATTTATTCCCTAATTTGCTTTGAGTATGCACCTCATAAATCAATAATAGAAGACGGCATTAAAGCATTGGTGTTAACTGTCAGCAGAAGGCAGTGTACCGATTCTTTTAATTAAAAGAATGTGTGTGGTGAATATGTCCATGTGTTATATTAGATATGGTACATTTTAAAATTGCTTTTTCAACATCAAAAGAAATGCTCGGAGTTTGGAAGAGGATGAAGAACTGTAAATTCACAGTAAGCGGCAGAAGTCTCGGCGTTTCAGGGTAATGTATGGTAATTTGACATGTAGCCTCGTCCAAGAGCATTCTGGGAATGAAGATAATGTTCTCTGGTTCCACGCCAGGAGAAATGAATCCAGAATGTGAGCCATTGCTGACACACCATCAGAAAGTCATAAAAGACAATGAGATGTGGTATCATCTCCTTTCGGGTACCAGATAAAATTGATTCTATCTTTCTTAAAGAGTTATATGTGGACTCTAAAAAGTAAGTGGATATATAAAATTAAGACAATTAAGGTTAGCAATGTTTTCCCCCTCCATAAAATTCTGAAGATTAGATAACTTTTTAAGGAAATTAACAAAAATTAATATTAAAAATCAACACTCTTTGCCTGAGTGAAGAAGTCATTATAATAGAGCATGAATTTCCACTTCAGTCTTGTCTAAAAATGCCAACTGTGGTTAAAATAAATGACACATGGGAGAATTGCACTTTTAAAAGAGGAAGCCTGTTACTTGTGTGTAGAGATGCCCATGTCTCAAGGAGAATTTAGCCTGCTAACCAGTCAATGTTTCTAGCCTAACAGAAATCAGGCTTCCGCGAGGGAGAAGCTGTGGGTAAGAGGCACTGTAGCTGATTGGATATGAGCACAGGCTTTGAGTCAGGTAGGCATGGGTCGAAATCCTGGCCCAAGGAGATGCCAGCTGTGTGAGCTGGGGAAGAGTACCTGAATCTCCCATCGTCTTTGTTTTTGCTTCTCTAAAAAGGGCATAAGAAGATCTGTAATTTACAGGATACTGGTAGAATTACCAAAAATGATGTATGCAAATTAATTACCGGAGTCCTTTGGCCCACGGTAATGCTCAATATATGGTCAAAACCAAAATAAAATACATCAAAACAAATACAAAAAAACAAACACACAAAAACCAAAGGTGGGGTCGGGGGGTGCGATGTAGCAAAAATGATGTACATTACAAAGCCACACCTGAGAGGATGAATCAGTGTTTGTGCCCGAGAGTAGAGAAATTTATTGGTGCTGTTGGGTTGGAAGAAGGGAAAAGGGGCTGGGAGAGGGAATAAAATTCCTGGATAAGGGACCTCATGGCTTTGGGGTGGTCATCTTGAGCCTCAATTCGTAGGAAGTAAAATGGAAGCTTTGGGCTAGATGTTTTGGTGGTTCCTGCCTTCCTAAAGGCTTTATAGGTCTAGGAGTGTGTTAGCTAGAGATCGCAGCATTTAGATCAAGTTTAGGTTTCTTAGATTTCTTCCCAAGATCTCATTCCTTAAACTCGGACTAGGAATGGGGCAGGAGGCATGTGGAGACACACTGTTCCCCACGTGTTGGGATAAATGTTGAATATGGTTTCTTTGCTGTAAAGGATTGTAGAAATGAGGGCACTAATGAATATTTAACAACTAGCTAAATTCTATGTGTGTCTGCTTGCCAGCAAGTGTACTGTGTGCTGTTGAGGATGTCAGGACGAAATAGGCAAGGCAGGAGAAAGAGCAAGGTGCTCTTAAGTAACCAGTTTGTCTCTACTCACTCCTTGTTCTACATACTCTTCTCTCTGCCTGGATGTCCTTTTTACCCTGGATCTCTCTCTTCCTGCAGAATCTCTTCTGTATTTCTTCCAGGGGCTGAAGGAAATGGCACCCTCCTCAGGAAGGCATTTATGTTTTTCTCAAACAGAGGCAGTCTCTCTCTAATGTCCCCTGCAGCACGCTGTGCTTCCCTGCTGGCATTCAATGCATTCTCTTTAGTGTTACAGCTCTGCCTAGATGTCTCCTAGAAGGTCCAGGCTACTTTTTTTTTTTTTTTAGCCAAATGCAGAGTCTGTGGCAAAGGCAGTCTTGACATCTTCCTGCAAAGTAGAATGGTTAGGAACTCTGGAGAGAGAGAATCTGGTTCAATCATACCACACAGGGTGATTTGGGGGAAGTAACTTAATTCTTCCTGTGGTTTTTCACCCATAAAGTGAAGATAATGGTACCCTAATTTGGGGCAAGATCTGACAATATTTTTATAGTACCCTGTACTTCTTTCCTTTGTGGCACATATCACAAATATAGTAAAGTCACTGATAAGGTAGTTAACGCTTTAATACATGTCTTCTCTGCTCCATTGAGGCAGGGAGGGACCACATCTGTATTATTCACTTCTTTATTTCAAGTTTCTGGGAGTTGGTTGAATGAGTGAAGGAATTAATGATTGAATGAACATTTCTATGAATGAGTTATAGACTTGTCATAGTCTCCAACTAGAAGGTTAGTCCCTTGAGGAAAGATTACGTCTTTCTCCTCTTTATCACCCTCACAGTGCCAAACGTGGACTAAGTGCTGAGCATTAAGCAGAATTTAATTGAAGGGACAGTTCTTTGGGAGTCAGGCACACTCTGGGCATCAGCGAGAATTCTCCCCATAAATCCTCAGTGTCCTTCTGAGGTAGACCATTGTCTTCTTGCTGTTTTTGTCTCAGCTTCAGCACCTGTGAAAGCAGAGCGACTGGCCCATGATATGCAAACACTACATGACTGCAAACACTACCCCAGGCTGTCGGCTCAGATCCCAGGGCCAACCTTGTCCGGTTCCCATGACTTCATCAAACAAAATCACGAGACGGGGTGGACCGCACCTTCACTTTAGCTCACTGCAGTGAGCACAGAGCAGACAGCGGGACTTGGACCATCCTTGCTCATTCAGTGGAGCCGCAGCCTCAGCCACATTCTTAGGGTTTCACAAAAGATATTTGTGTTGACTTATGCTATAGGCCATCGCTTCAAGTAAACCTACCTCAGACATACTGAATCTGAAAATCTGGACTTAAAGTACATGAATTTTAAAATTGGGGTTCTTTTAAAACTTTGGATCTGCCATGTCTAAACATTTGGAAGTAAGTTGATATTTATCATATAACTGTATAAAGCATCAAACCCGAGACCTGCAAATAGTCTAAAAAAATTATATGCATACAAAGTTATAAACATGTGGCTGATACATTAGATACATTTTCATTGAGATACCCATTCATCACCTACTCTATATTAAACATGGTACTACATGTACCCAGGAGTCAAATATAATAATAAACATCAAGCAGACCCCACTCCCAATGATCTTACTGTGCTCGCTTCGGCAGCACATATACCATCAACGATCTTACTGATAAGTAGGAGAAATGATAACATAATAACAATTCACATCAATTATAGTATCTTTGGATTCAAGTAACAGAACATGTTAATTAACACTGGCTTCAAGAATTTGGAAATGTAGCAGCAAGTCTCAACTGGGGCAGATTTTGGGGTAAGCTGAGCTCGTGGCTGACGATATCATTAAGAACCCAGATCCTTTCCATTTCTCTGCTCTGCATCTTCATCGTTGCCTTCTTCCTCTGTTTAGGAAGTCGCTTAATTCCTTTGTGCCAGTTCCGGTTGTAACATCTGGACATGATGATTTCCAGCGGCAAAAACAAGGCTCTCTCTTCTGTGGTCTTCTTTATAGAAACAAGGGTATCTTTCCCACAAATCTCCTCTCCCATCTCATTGTCCTGACTTAGTTCACATTCCCATCCCTACCCCAACCATTGGCAAACGGGTGTGGGACCATCATGGCGAGGATTTATTCCTGAGGCTATAAATGTGGTCCATATGGGAGACATAGATGCCAAAACATCATTAAGGCTCTGGTACCCAGCAAAAAGGGAAGATAGATGGCAGGAGGGCAACCGACCACATCTGCTAGAGTATCTAATGTTGAGTTGACATTTGATGATACTCAAACCCTTTCCATATACATTATCACTTGAATATGAGTTTTGTTCAGGGACCTTCTGTACGTTTTGTTCTCGGATGTA